ATGCTTTAATAGGGTTTAGGGTTTAGTGGTTTAGGGTTTAGGGGTTTAGGGTTTAGTTTAGGGAAATCTTGACGCCTAAACTAAAAGGAAACCAGAGCTAACTCCCGAAATTGGCTGAACCTCGACGCAAACAGCTTTTTGCAAAACCACGAGGCGTGCTTTCCACAACGCCATCTCGCCAAGAGGTATTTGCAAATCTTCCCTCAGGACCACATGAACCCAAACGAGTTTCTCAAGCCCTAAACCCTACAGGGACAAAGGGCCGCAATCAATTTTTCCGTGCACTCTTAACACGAGACGGTAACACACCAGAACTCAAACCCTAATATAGGGGCCTGTATAATCTTACTACGGTTTTGAGGCCCATTATACTATCTTTATAACAAGGAACCCTCAAAATACTGTAGGTAATTATTAAGATATTATTAAGGCTCCATATATAGTAAATCCCAAATTCTAGTCGTCCTCATGGCCCTCGAAAAATGAGCTTCGCCAGAACTCCCGAAGTTGCGTGAGCCCCGGTAGTATTTACTGGGGTCCACACATCGGCGAAGTGCGACCAACCCCTAAACCCTAAACCCTGAACCCTTAACCCTAAACCCTAAACCCTAAACCCCCCAAGTCTGGGCAACAGTGAACTGTACAGCTTCAAATGCACCATCACAGGAAGCAAATGATACCTTTGGATCAAAGAAGCGCACCAGAATCAAGTCTGCGGCATGCAGGTAGCGGTCAAGTTGTGTGAGATGGGTCTCATTCGGAGTTGACCTTTCGGGGGCAATTGAAGCACGAGACACACTCCCTTCAAGGACCTAGAGAAGTGACTCGGACCTTTCTGACTCGATAACACATCGACACTGCTGCTTCTTCCCTCAACCCTAAGCCGAAATCTTGTTGCCGGCGACTGCTTCTCGATTCCCTGTGCCGATGTCAAAAAGGGCAATGTCATCCCTGACACAGGGATCCGATTGCCAGCCTCGTGCAGACATCAAAAGGGTCTTCTCGTTACTGCTCACCCGAGAAAAACGACCAATAATATATATATATATATAAATATATATACATATACCCTCATCCCCGCATGGCGTTGCCAGACTGACTGCACGAAGCGTTTGGACGCCTCTCGTAAATCTAGAACATGCGGATGCACGATCAAGAGGCTATTCGCAAGCCGCTAGCCAGACTCTTGATACGCAAAGGGACGCCGCAACCCTCTCCGGGTGTCGAGTCCGTTCATCCCTGACGAGAAGAAGTCTCACAACCAGTCGCAACTGCATAGCCCGAAACGACTCCCTAAACCCTACCTGGACCCTGAAGAACCTACCTTTAGGGTTCCTTAATATGATTTCCTTATATGGGGGTTTCCGAAAATAGGGGACCCTAATATAGCACCCTAAATAATAGGATCCTTATAGTAAGGACCCCAAAATAAGGTACCCCCCCCTACTCCCGGAAAGTCCCATATAAAGCCTTAAAAATCCAAGTTATTTGGGGTTAAGGTAAACCCTAAACCCTATACCCTGAACCCTCAACCCCGGAACGACCAAAGTGGCCTTTGAACCCTAAACCCCGGAACGACCAAAGTGGCCTTTGAACCTTAAACCCCGGAACGACCAAAGTGGCCTTTGAACCCTAAACCCCGGAACGACCAAAGTGGCCTCCCCTTGCGTGCTATACAGGCAGAGTCACGGCGAGCAGCTGAATTCCCACAGCCTCGGAGGTCTGAGATGTTGAGCTTGGTGGTGTAGGGTTTAGGGTTTAGGGTTTAGGGTTTAGGGTGTCGGGTGTAGGGTTTAGGGTTTAGGGCTGGCATACATAACCATACTTGGGGGATCATGGGACTTAGAAACTAGGGTTATAAGTAAGGTAACTATAGTTAGGGGTTTAGGGTTTGAGGTTTAGGGTTACTAGGGTCATAAATAAGGTAACTATACTTATAACCCCAATTAGGGTACTTATAACCTTACTTACTAAGTCCCATGAGCCTCCAAGTAGGTAGTTCCTTTTTGGGGTTGATGTTTAGAATCGTACAAGGCAATCCCACAAAGGAACTACTATGGGGCCTATGGGTAATTACCTTACTTCTCCAATAACCCAGGGAAATAAAAGGTTCAACTTTCAGGTTATATACTAAATTCTAACAACCCCGAAAGTTTAAAGGTTGGGTGTTGGGGAACTAAGTTACTAGCTAGCTTCGAATGCTACATTTTTTCGAAATGCTCTCCAGACTTGCGTATTCAGCGTATTTCGTCTTCTATCTGTTCCCTACGTCGCCCTAGATTCTTCTGGCAGTCAGAGTATATCCTTGAATCATCTAAACCCTAAACCCTAAACCCTAATGATTCATGTTCCTGCTTTCGTGCTCCACGTCTGGTAGAGTATCACCGGGTATACCACTCCACAACTGGGATTGTAGAGCAATGCTGTGAAATGAGGTTCCCGAACTACGCTGGCAAGTAGCACAAAGCAACAGGATCTGATTGGGGTTTGACGGGGTCGGAGACAGTAGTCTACGAAGTCAGATCTACTTCTGCCGATGTTTCTATCGAAATTGCATTATTTACGTGTCTGTCTTCCGGTTAGTTTAAGGTTATTGATACAGGCACTGACCAGCCGTCATAACACGAAACCGCGCGTGCCGCAAATCACAACCATCAAGAGAATGTAGTTGTGGCGCCGCTACCCCTGGTGCTAGTGCTGGTCTTTGTCGTGTCGGTGGTGTGGGCGTTGGCGGCAGCACTGGTGGTGGTGGTCGTGATCGTGGTACTGGTGGGGGTGGGGGCAGCGGCGGCGGTGGTGGTCGTCGTCGTAACTAGAAGTTGCCCTCTTCGTATTTGTTGTAATCGTCGTCGTAGTGGTAGTCGTAGCCGCGGTCGCAGTAGTAGTAGTCGTTGCAGTAGCCTCTTTCCCCGATTCTTAAACCCCCCTCCCCCTGCGCGATTTCGCTTCAGTAGTGGGGGGTCGGTTTTAGCATTCTTATTGCTCGGGATCTTATTCTAAATCATTCCTTGGGCAGGCCGCAGACCCTCGGGCAGCGCCCGCTGTCCTACGTTCCTACGTCCGCTGCTGGCTGCAGTTCTTGCAGTCAACTCATTTCTTGCGTTCTAGTACACAGTGGATCTTGCACTCGCACCGTAAGGTTTCGGATGATGGGATAATCCCTAAGCATACTCTGTGCGAGAGAGAGAGAGAGAAACAAAGAACAAACTTGCATAGTAATCCTCCAAGGATCCCCAAGGTCTCCCTATGATCCCCTAATTGCAATCTCCTCTTGGTCACTTAAAACTCCTCTTCGGGAATGGGTTTTGAGATTAAGGTGGGGCTTAGCAATCGAGGAGGGGGTTCGTAGTAGTAGTAGTAGTAGTANNCAGCAGCAGCAGCAGCAGCACTAGCCGTAGCAAACTCGCGTGTTGTTCTTGTTATTGTTGCTGTATTTTGTCATTGTCCTTGCCCTGGCTCTGGCTCTAGCTCTTGTTCTTGCCGTCACTGTTGCTGCTGTTTCTGTTGCCGCTGTGTGTCACCCTCTTGGCCCTCTTGCTTTTTTCTTCAGCAACATCACCAGAACCACCATGACGCTGAAATCTAGTTCTATCTACTGCACCCTTCGGTGCCCTTGCTGCCTTGTGACCAGGGCAGGGGTCGAAAGATGTACCTTGACAGTTCCAGCTTTTGGGTGTCGTTGGCTTTGGGGCCAAATGCTCCGGATTTGAGAGGTGTCCTTCTCTCCTCCATTACACCCGGCTCCTCTTTTCGGAAACTAGCTCCTTCAACCTACTAGAGAGGGATGGAGCTTAACATCTGTGGCATGAGGTCAGAAGATTCAAGATAGGTCTTGTAGGGGTGGACAGAGCCCCAAGCCCCAAAACCCACGAAATCCTAAACCCTAACCGCAAACCCCTTAAACCCTAAACCCTGAGACCCAAGACACTAAACATGGTCTAGCTCGGATTTGATCCATGAATGCATGGGGCACATCTGGGGGATAGATCTAGGCCCCGAGTCCGAAATAGTGTAGGGGCCTTACTAATTAGA